TAGTGGATTTCCGGATACAGGCTCGGTTATTTCAGCTACCCCCACATATATGCATCGCTGGAAGTGTCTTTAGGTTCAAACGGGTGGTAATGAAAATATAATTCAGTTAATAGTGACATTTTACTTTTACACTGTCCCATTCTGTTGGTTCCTGAAAAACGAGGCTTTTCCAGTGTCTGCCGTTCAATCAATCAAGTTCATTTCGTAACAAGGCCTTAGGCCCTCGTACAATACAAATAAACATGTGTAATTATAAGATAGTGGCATTTGACAACCAGATTCACATGTATGAAGAACGCAGTGACAATGCTTCGTTAATGTAAGAAGCACAATTTGTTAGTGTTGACAACTTGGTACAGGATAATGTGTCCGGAAAGTATTGCTGATCTATGTAATTTGGTAATGCTTTAAAATACTTACAGCGCAAATCATGATAAACATTACATTCCAGTGTCTGCCGTTTGATGTAAGAGACACAGGCTTCGTGTACGTTTCGTTTCAAGAACAAATGTGTTTACACTTTAACTACACGTTGTCTCTTAGCATCAGCATTTACATTAAAGACAAGCAGACCGTACGAGATAAAGTATACACCTCAGGCAGAGTTTAGTGTTCGCAACACCAGCATACGGCCTTGCTTCAGTCGTAATGGACCATGAGAATCAATTTGAGTCAAAATCATTTTGAAAAAACCAAGCGACCAAAACAAATTATGCTGGAGTCGTTTGACTTAATCATCATTATTACAGATGGTAATGCTCAACAAAGTATATCTGATTATGGTTCTAAAGCCTCACAGCTTGGAATGTTGTTAAAGGGTACACATGTTACATCCACGTTAAAACAGGGACGTGCTACCGGGACTTATTGCCAACGTTTTATTCTCCCCGGAACTCGATTAGGAACTAATCAAAATGAACTGAACCATGTTTGTGGACGCCGACAGGTTAGCAAACAATTACAAGAACCATCTATAATTTAGACGACGTTGGCATTACATACATGGCGACAGTTAATGTTTTCAGGTAGGTAGAAATATTTGATGAAGAAACTGACGATCAAAAGACAGTGGGATGAAATACTTTAGTGTTTATGCTGTTTGATGAGACCTTTTCTGTCATGAATCTTTTTTTCAGTTTTCAGGAAGTGATTACGATTACACACTGTTAACCTGTAAATCTAATTTGAAATTTCCGCAGCATAGACATATACAAGCGAGTTTCTGAAACAGTTACAGAGTGAGTGAGTGAGTCTAGTTTAACGCCGATATTAGCAATATTTCACCAAAATCCAGAAATGGGTTTCACACATTGTACCCATGTGGGGAATCGAACCCGGGACTACGACGTGACGAGCGAACGTTTAAATAACCCTATTTACAGAGATACTCCGATAGTTGACAAGGACATGTATAATAATGCACCAAAAGATGTTCTAAGGGCATGTAATTAGATCTTCTTACATGTGCGTATTGCCATAGTGGTGGTACTTATAAAAATTAAAAGTTAGAGCAGATAATGTCCTTTGAAAAAACCCATCAACAACACACAAACAGAAAGAAAGAGAAAACTATGTGGGGACCAAACGTATATAGCTTATTATTGGTTTTCGGACACTGAAGAACATCCCTCGTTATCTCGATTATCACACGAACAATGATAACCCATGCCGCTAACGTATTAAAGTTAACTTTGTCACAAACACAAGCCACCATCCGGGTATTTACAATTTCTGTGTGACACGACACCCTCCTTATAATGCGAGCAAACACGGATTATGATCAGACGATATTTGTACCGTATTATCAATGTAAATACGTATATTAATATTTATTCCAATTTCTGTGAGACCACCTGTCATTACGTTCATACTTGCCTGGCACAGTCCCACATTCTAGTCTTGTGCTTTGACTTCAGGGGGCACACTTATCCAGCAAAGTGTAATGTTTAACTTATCTCAAGCCATATCTTGTTTGGCTTTTGCTTAGTTTTCACTGCAAGGAAATTAGTAACACAGCAGAGACGCCAATGTCAACAACTCCTCTGTGGAGGGTTAGTGCACTGTGATCAAGATTGTGTGAGTTTAGTTTTACGCCGCACTCAGCAATATCCCAGCTACATGGCGGCGGTCTGTAAATAATCAAGTCTGGACCAGACACCCCAGTTATCGACAGCATGAGCATCGATTTACGCAATTGGAATATGATGAAATGTGTAAAGCAAGTCAGCGTGCTTGACCAACCAATCCCGTTAGTCGCCTCTTACGACAGGCATGGGTTGCTGAAGATCAATTCTTCACGGGTCTGTGATCAAGACACATTGCTACAGACACAACTGAATATGCTGTCTTCAGTATATGACTGGTTTCGTATATTGAGACACAGATTATCTGCTCCATAGTGTTGAACCCGTAATCATTGCGTGCAAATACATCTTGAACCAGTTTATAACACCCACCTTTCAAATTGAAAATAATTACCCAATAAAATACCCCTTGAGAATATGTGCTATGTTAAAGGAACCCACCCACTCAAATTGAAAATAACTGCGCAGTGAAATACCCCTTGAGAATATACATGTATGTTCAAAGTGAAACTAACTGCCCAATAAAATACACCTTGACACGACGTGTGCGATATTGCTATATACATGTATGTGCACATATATCTGACTGACGCGTCGAAACATGATTCTAGTATTGATACGAAACAAATACGGGGAAGAATCACGAATATTTTTGGGGATTATGTCTGTAGTAAGGACACATTTTCACAGAAGTGAACGGTATATGTATATATTTGGCGATCACGCAACTCCGCCACCCCCACCCCACCCCCAACCCCCCTCTTCTGAGTCCGCCTCTGATCCATATATTAACGTTCACTGTTAAACGTTCAACGTGGGCGGGTGTGCCTATAAACCTATAACCGCACTCCGACCACCATGTGACTAACGCTCAGAACGTGATATCCGGCAACTTGTACTATGGCAACCTGACGCAACTCATCTACAATTCTTAAGTAAACTTTAACCTGACACGAGTAAGTACACAACGATATGATCACGTTATTATTGCATCGTAATATGGGTCGGTGGGGTAGCCCAGTGATAAAACGTCCACTCCTCGCACCGAGGGCCCGGGTTCGAATCCTCACATGTGAAGATTATTCAGGCAGTACCCACTGGGGTATAGCTGTTACGCTGCCACAGTGAGTGAGTGAGTGAGTTGGGTTTTGCGCCGCTTTTAGCAATATTCCAGCAATATCACGGCGGAGGATACCAGAAATGGGTTTCACACATTGTACCCATGTGGGGAATCGAACCCGGGTCTTTGGCGTGACGAGCGAACGCTTTATCCACTAGGCTACCCCACCGCCCCAACACTGCCACGGACCCAATTGCAACATACTGACATGTGCGTCCAGTGATAGACACAAAAAGATAAGGCATTTGTGATATTTACACTTGTATTATTGCAAAATAAGAAGATAAACAAAAGGGACACTTCAGCGCTAGCGTCATTTAAAACTACACTCTCGAATCAATGAATCTATTGTTGACATCAGGCTTTTACTGCGTGCATGTACCCGACGGAACACCTCGTCATGAGTGAAGATCGAGGTGATCATATTTCAGTTGTATCACGACTTGTTAGCTTGATGTGTGGGGATAGCACGAAGTTGGTGAAATGGGGTTTAACGTCGTACTTGAGAATATTTCGCTCATATGACGACGTGCATGCGTGTGTATGTGTGACTGCTTGTACTAGCCATGGCTTAGCTAGCCCACTGAAATACCATGACGCAGTTAAACATGAATACCCCACTCAGACACATTATAATGACTCCGAGCCGACCAGTCCTTGTTGTACCCATTAATGCCGACCACCAGGCAGGGACCAACAAGTACCATATTTTAACGTCGTTTGGTATGACGCGGCAGGGGATCGAACCCGCGACCTTCCGCTCTCCGGACGGACCACTACACCACGGGATAGCTCGTAGTACAGGGGTAAGGCCTTAACCTTTTGACAAAGGCAGAAGCATAGTTAAACACTGAAAGACCTAGTAACATATTCGGAGAGAACTGGGTTTCCAGCACATTATTGGACTGTACCTTTCAAATTTCTGGACCACGCCGTGGATTTATAACTTATTATTGTGATTGAGCTGGTTAGTGATTTAAAATGTAACGTCACATCAGCAATAGTACAGTCATATAGTGACGAGAAAAGCTCTGTTAACATTATCATGTACATTAGCATCATGGCACTATTTGAGTCTAAATACTATAAAAATGTTCTATTCGAAACAAACAGAAATATTAAATTTAAAACGAGCTATTTACTACCAGCAACCAAGGCTAGTCACAGGGACCTACAGTGCTTCGGCTTCCTGCATGAATCCCCAGCAGGATTAATGCCACCACCGTGGTCACTGGTTGTTGTAGACAAAGATAGCCATGAATTAAAACATGTCCCAATATGAAAGTGTACAATTTTGCTTGTCTGCAATGTACTGTGATTGTATCAGTACTCACAAGCTATCATCCGAGGACAATTTTCTTACAATACTTCAACCCCATTAAGTAGCCCTGCCGTAACAGTTATCAATCACACCAACGTTAATTAAAACATGTTAATTCAAAAGCTAATGAATACTCCTATCTTAATTGAAAAAAATACGTTTTAAAAAGATCCTTAAAATTTGAAACTTGGAGTGAGTGAGTGAGTGAGTTTAGTTTTACGCCGCACTCAGCAATATTCCAGCTATATGGCGGCGGTCTGTAAATAATCGAGTCTGGGCATAACAATCCGTGATCAACAGCATGAGCATCGATCGGCGCAATTTTGAAACTTGGAAATAAGTATCAATTTTGAGAGACAATACAACACAGTAAAAAAAAGCGTGCTTCATTGTGACATTACTTTATAAAAGTCATACAACACACCATAATCAACTATGTATTTTTCCAATGACACGATAAAGCACTAAACACAGCCACATTTAAACATTTATTTATCTGATAAACCTCTAAGTACATTGAATATTATGTCGGTAAATTAAGAGCAACTCATCATTAACAATTGTGTACTTGCTGGCTAGTATGATCAGGGCGATCTGTATATGAAGAATATCTGGCAATCCGAGTATTCTCAATATTGTGCATATACGTAGAGAATACTAAACGATGTCCCGTGTAATACCATATTTATGAAACATGTGAATGGAATTGGTATCTATCTCGCTTTCGCTTGTTACACAATGTGTAATAACATTGTAGATGTATTTAACAGTGATATCTTCAACGGGTAACTAATAATAGCGAATATATAATCGCATTCTGTATGAGCAATACTGGTCAATGAGCACGCCAATGGGATGATATTCATAAACATAGAAACGGCAGTCAGGGAAGACGTAATTAATTGCATTCGTGCGACCGGGTGTGATTGGTTTAATTGCGAAAAATGTCTGCATATCACTGGAATGTAAAGCTTCTGTTGCAAATAGTACATGGTATTCGTGAAACTAATTAAAATATCTCTACATGTCTTGAGTACTGCTTACTGTTGGGCAGTTGTGCCATTTTGTTTATCGTATTCAACAACATATGTTGACCGCACATTTTGAAATATATGACGAAGACTACGGCAACTATAACTGAAGCCTCTCTCGGGCGAGTTTTGCCAGCTCCTTTCGGTTCAGTTTAAGGCTTCTTGTGAGAGGGAACTCCTCAAAGAATACAACGTATTTCGGAACTACGTTCATGGCGGAAGGAATGTTCCCTGTGATTGCAGCTTTAGCAAAATGGAGGATGTCTTCTTCTCTTGACAGAGATCCTTCACTCCTTTTGACGCAGGCACATATTTCTTGGTGCACAAGCTTGTCTGGCACAGGAACAATGACAAGCTGTTGGACTCCAGGACATGAGGCAAGTTTCTCCTCCAGCCACGTCGGGTAGAGGATGTAGGCTCCATGCATGATGGCGTCTGAACTTCTCCCTTCCACACAAAAACCACCTCTCGCGTCAACGTAACCCACATCATCCGTACGAAACCAACCATCTGGAAGAAACGAAGCGTTTGACCCAGTGTCTCCAATGTATCCCACAGTTAGAGTCTCGGAGCGTACAACGATCTCCCCACGTGTTTCACCAGCCACGTCTTTCAGCTCTGAATCAACCACACGCATCTCCATTCCCGACACCGGGTTCAATGTCATATTGTTCTTGAATTCATGTTTATTACTTTCATTGAGCTCAACAACACAAATTACGCCAACTTCTGTTGAGGCATAGAAATTCAGTATAGAGTCTGACAGATTACCTACTGCATCAAGGCATTCTCTCTTGAGAGGCTGCCCACCAGTTAAAACCTTCTTCAGTTTCTTTCCTGAAGATTCCCAAAGCTCTCTTCGACTGAAAATGCCCAGTAGCTGGAATGATGCAAAGCCTCCAATGGATACATTTTCATCACAGATTATGTTCCAGATGAACTTGAGCATGTCAGCTTCTCCTCCAATTGTGTCATCGATGATGACAGTCGGAGCGCCAGAGTACAGGAAATATGCCGGGAAGCCGCCAATCCACCCAAGAGGAGCTGTAGTAAAAGAAATATCTTCCTTGCTACGTATTCCGGTGATTTCTCTTAACCTGTGACAAATGACCAGAAGAGCCTTGTGTGTGTGTTGAACCAGCTTGCTGTATCCAGAACTTCCTGAAGTGGTAAATATAGATGCGATATCTGTGGGCTTTCTACTCCTACTGATATATGTATCACTTGGAAGAGATGTCAGGAATTCAGACTTTCTGGCTCTGCAATATACCATATGCATCAAACTTGGGACATCTTCGCTCTTGATAACAGAACTGTGTTTGTTATCAGATACCAACTCAAACCGCTGCTTACATATACTACATGCGCCGTTGTCTTGATCTGGATCAGCGATAAGAACTCTGCATTTCGCTTTGCACATTGATTCAATAATATCTTGACCATCAGAACGTAGAGTCTGGCCGTTCATTGTAACAGCTCCGGCTAAGTGTACACCGAAATCAACTATGATTCTTTCTGGACAGTTGGGAAGAGCAATGCACACCACATCTCCAGGCTGAACACCAAGTTCAGTCAGTCTGAAGGCAAACCTACTAGACAGATCCAGGACTTCTCCCCGTGACAAGACATGTCTGCCATTCTTGCTCCAGAAAATGAAGGCGGGCGTGTCAGGCTCAGTCTTTCCCCAGAAGCAGATTCGATCGGTAAATGTTTGACCAGTGGAGATACTTCTGCTCTCTTCCATCTTGATGTCGTTATCTAAATAAAGTAAAACAGTGTCATCCGACAGGAGGCATGGATAATGCTGTGATTAAAAGCAGTGATAAAACGATATATACTGTTATCATGTTCACATAACGCTTAGAGTTTCCTGACAATACAAAATCTTCCAACTAATATAGACTGGAATATCCCGTTACCGAGTGATTTTGGGGCGGTGGGGTAGCAAAATGGTTAAAGCGTTCGCTCGTCACAACGAAGACCCGGGTTCGATTCCCCACATGGGTACAATGTGTGAAGCCCAATTCTGGTGTCCCCCGCCGTGATATTGCTGGAATATTGCTAAAAACGGCGTAGAACTAAACTCACTCACCAAGTGATTGGGTAACCATTGGTAGGGCAATTGTATGATTGGGTTTATCGTTATTGTTGACATTCTGAGAGCACGACATTTGACACTGAGAATTTCTAGAACTGAAGGCACTGCAGCTCCCTCTAAATTCACTTGGGAATTGGAGAATTGGGAAAATGCATAGGCATGGTTTTAACTGTGTCAACACACAATGAGTGAGTGAGTTTAGTTTTACGCCGCACTCAGCAATATTCCTACTATATGGCGGCGGTCTGTAAATAATCGAGTCTGGACTAGACAATCCGGTGATCAACAGCATGAGCATCAATCTGCGCAATTGGGAACCGATGACATGTGTCAACCAAGTCAGCGCGCCTGATCCACCGATCCTGTTAGTCGCCTTTTACGACAAGCATGGGTTACCGAAGGCTCATTCTAACCCGGACCTTCACGGGTCGTCAACACACAATGACACGATGCAAACGTGTTTAGTGTCAGGCAGTGTCACAGCAGGGCATGGGACTGATACTAAACGTTTGGATCAGCTCTCCCCCGAGATGAAGCGGGCTTCCAGCATTCAACCACACAGCGTCAAGACAGGTGTCCCCTGTTGCAGGAAAACGTCATCACATTGTGACTGCAACCACTCTCAGAAATGACCTGGGGCGGTGGGGTAGCCTAGTGGTTAAAGCGTTGGCTCGTCACGCCGAAGACCCGGGTTCGATTCCCCACATGGGCACAATGTGTTAAGCCCATTTCTGGTGTCCCCCGCCGTGATATTGCTGGAATATTGCTAAAAGCGGCGTAAAAGTAGACTCAGTCAGTCAGTCAGAAATGACCTGCGGGATGCCAAACGTTAAGGTTTCACCAGAGACGGTGGAAACTTGTCTCCGGCTACGGAGGCATACATTTGCATGCTACTGAACAGGTATGGTGACTCTGGTCCCACACAGAGTGTCATTATAGCTGATATCACAGGCACATGTTCATTAGGCTGAAGGTCACGTCACCTGGAAAGACCAGGCCCCGATTTCTCGAAACAAACGTTTTTGGCTTAAGTTAGAGTTTTTACTCAAATTTGAGAAAAATGGATTTCCCAGATATGAACTGAAATCGATATTACACTCAAACATAGTAGACAATTTGAGTTTGGTGGATAGATTACTTAAGTTGTTTGGGCTTTTATATTTTAAAAATGCAGCTAAGTAAAAAATTCAGCTGTTTCAATTTGTCAAACTCAGTTTGAAATTTGAGTAAAAACTTAAGTTTGTTTCGAGAAATCGGGGCCAGGACTTGGGTCCAGTAACTTGTCACTGATTGGTCGAGTTCATGTGTCGACTTTACACTTTGTCGTTCTCGAGGACTTCAGGATTCCATCGTAGTTGAATATGATCTGGATTTAGAGTCGGATCATGCAGCAGAAAGGACCGACCGTCATGTCTTACAGCACTGCATTATACATGTACCAGATGTGTGCCTCAGTGGGTGGATACGAGACACCGTATGCTGCACACATCGTCATCGGATAGGGCTACATCGTCATGACGATGTCTCACCGCATCATCGTGCCATGGTCTTTAATGCCTTCTTTAGATGGAATAATGGAAATTGAATTTGTTTTCTGGATATTCTGGTGTTTCAGTTATGGTCAGATACTTCTGTGACCCGTCAGTATTGTTCACATGACTGTTGGTATTTTGTGTCACATTCAAACGTTCACGTGTTGTCTTCACGCAATATCGTCCATGTAAATATGTACACCCATTGACGAATTACATTTCAATTGGCGATCCTTAGCAAACCATAAGTAGTATAGAAGATCTGGGTACCAATCTACAAAGCGTTCGTAACGTTACGACCTATCGTAACTCCATACTACATCACTAGCTTACGAATGACGCAGTGCTACGACCGCTTTGTGGATAGGGTCCCAGGATACATTAATACATGCATTTGTTTCAGGAAATGTCTGACTCATTTGACATTAATTTATATCCAGCATTAAGTACTAAATTTGACTTAACGTCTAATGAATGTGCAATACTTTATACTTACCGGTCCTTCAGTTTGCTGTATGCAAGCATTAACTACTGCTCCTGAATCACTGATTCACATACTCGGTAAGTGATATTGTTGTAGTCAGCAACACAATGTGGGACGAAACCTATGCTCTAGTGTAAATATTGGCTATATCTACACAGTCAATCTCTAGATAAGATACGACACGAATCGAGATTGTCCTATATCTGGACCTATTCAAGGGCATTGTGACAAGCCAGTTATCAACGACCACGAGTAGGTAAAAGTTTACCTTTCAATAGCGGGTAAATAGGACAAGGAGACGAAACTTACTGTCAGCTTGACATTAGTTCGTTATGTATAAAATAGTTCGTATATCTTAACAGTTGTAATTTTAAAGTTTGTTTGTTGTTTAATATGTTGCTAGGCAGTAGACACGGTGTAGTGTATATGATTGCTGTCTGTAAATAATCGAATCTCATTTGGCACAGTGGCTGTTGAATGCACTGAGAAAGTGTAAAGATATAGTTTCACCTGTTTAGAAGCTTTGCCTATTGAGGGAGACATGGATTAGTGCCTCGGTTTTCTATGCCACATAAAGGTGTTTTGTTTGTTTGTTCGTTCGTTTAACGCCACAATCAGCAATATTCCAGCTGTTTGGCGGCGGTCTGTAATTAATCAAGTCTGGACTAGACAATCCAGTGATCGACAGCATGAGCATCGATCTACGCAGTTGGGATACGATGACATGTGTCGACCAAGTCAGCGAGCTTGACCACCCGATTCCGTTAGTCGCCTCTTACGACAAGCATGGGTAACTGAAGGCCTATTCTAACCCGGATCTTCACGGGCAAACAAGCATGTGTTACTGAAGACCAGTTCTAACCCGGATGATACACGACAAGGCCTGGACCCCGTTCTACAAAGCGATCTTAGCGCTACAACAGTAGGCCAAAGTTACGCGTGGGAGTTACGATCACTTAAGCGCTAAGAGCACTGTGTGGACCGAGGTCCAGATATCAGTTATGTGAATTTATAACTGAATTTCACTGACACCAGCTGATCGTGAAAAGGGTATGCAAATCTTGTTCTGCACAGTTTGCATAGAAAGGGTACAATTTGTCTGGTGCAGCACAGCATAACTATGATCAATCATGTCTCGACTTTACACAATCGGCTTACAGGTGCCTACTGACTGGTTATTTGTTTCCGGACGTGTTACCATCATATTGGTGCCAACGCTAGGTAAACTGTCCACACGAAAGAAAATTAATATTTTGATTCTCTGGACCCGAAATTAACATTGCCAGGCGTGAAATTATCTACACTGCCAAAATAGATACGCCGAACTCAAAGCTGACATTGATACTGCTCGATAAATCAAACAATGGTTTTGTGGCATGTGTCCTTGTGGTGAACATTATCATTATGATATAATAATCGTAAGCCAATGCTATAGCACTGGAGATATGATCACTTCAGAGCTAAGGCCGCTTTTAGGTATGGAGCTCTGGGCTCATATGTATGTATATATACTCAGCAGCAAAAAAACCCGTCAGTACGAATTCAAAATTTGATAGGCACTGTAATAAAATCATTACAGAAGTGGACATAATAAGCGGATCAAAAAACATTTTTGTGTACAATATCTTGACACATCAATGAATAACTCAGCACAAATTCAAGGCATTACGTCAACGTTTACAGTCCATTCAGACTCTTGACTTCGGTATCTAGTGTGACCACCACGAGCGGCAATAACTGCAGCACAGCGTCTATGCGTGGAGTGCACCAGTCGATTGATGAAGGCCATTGGCACCTGGATCCACACTCTGAGAAAGGCCTGGCGCAATAAATCGGCTGTGTTTGGCCTTGGTATGACATTATTCAGTCTCCTCTGAATTTCATCCCAAAGATGTTCAATTGGGTTTAAATCAGGACTAAGGGCTGGCCACTGCATAATGTTGACACCGTTCTGCTGTAGGAAGTCCCGTGTAGCTCTGGCAGTATGGGCTCTCTCGTTCAGGCCTATTCCACCCCATACCATGATGCTGGCACCTCCCCATGAGTTTCTTTCCATAACACATTGGTCTGAGTAACGCTGGCCACGTCGTCGCCATATTTTTGTTCTGCCATCTGCAGTTGATACACCGTACCGACTCTCATCTGTGAACAGAACAGTTCTCCATTGCCTGTATCGCCAGCTTTGGTGTTGTAGGGCAAATGTAGACGTTCACGCCGATGACGAGGGGTGAGGATAGGTCCACGGTAAGGTCTAAGTCCTTGTTTTACCGATTACTGCCGAGTGCCAGGTAGGCACCAACAAGTACCATGTTTTAACGTCTTTTGGTATGACCCGGCCGGTTTTCGAACCCGCGACCTCCCGCGCGGAGCGCTAACCACTACACAACGAAGGCGGTTGTACTTCACTGAGATAGTGTAATCTCAAATACGCACAGGCGTTTTCAGCTGTTCATTTCGATATATTTTGACAGCAATCGTCAGTTCCTTTGTTTGAATCCCCGTTAATCATGTCGTGGGTGTTGTGTATTGCCCGCGAACGCATCCCAAAATGTGTTTGTAAACGTTTTTCATAAAACTGAAAACGATACATGAAAAGTGCATGCAGAAAAGGTTTTCCACGTAATGCACGTGCAATGTGTCGGAAACATGAGTAGAGACATCGACTATAAAAGGCCAAACCAAATTTATGATTTCATTACGAAATTTACGACTTAAACGAAAATAAAAAAATGCCAAGATTGAATGCTACGGACAGAAATATCGCCATTGAAGTCCCAGTCTGCCGTTGCAAGACACTTCAACGTCCACCACAGCACCATATCTCGATTATGGTATCGATATACCTGTTTCAATTCGACGAAAGATCGTCCCAGAAGTAGATCTGCCGTAAATATTGGGGTAGCCTTGTGGTGAAAGATTTCACACGTAACGCCGAAGAGCCAGGTTCGATTCCCAACATGGGTACAATGTGTGAAGCCCATTTCTGGTGTCCCCGCTTTGATATTGCTGGAATATTGCTAAACGAGGCGTAAAACTAATGTTACTCACTCACTCTTGTTTCCAATGTTTGCCTGATGGTTAGCACAGCACTCAGGATGATACCCACATACTTGCACCAATGTAATACTTCCTTTCATTTAATCCTCAAGAACGTATATGGATCGCTACAATTAAGCAAAAAGAACCCCGGCGAATCCAGGCCTTCAAAAGAGAATAATAATATATATTCCTGCTATTGTCCAGCAAAATCACAAAAGGTACTCAATAAATGGGGTTAACATTTCAGCATGATTGGCAAGAGTAATTTCGCTATCCATCCTCCAAACCGATAGAGCAAAAAGAGTGGCATAGGCTCTGTTGTGAGTGAGTAGTTTTACGCCTCACTCAGCTATATGTAAACTCAGCTATATTCTATAAATAAACGAATCTGGACCAGACAATCCAGTGATCATACACTGATCAACAGCATGAGCATCGATCTATACAACTGGGTTCCGATGACATGTGTCAACCAAGTCAGCGAGCCTGACCACCGGATCGCGTTAGTCGCCAAACATGGAGTTGCTGAAGACCAACTGTAACCCGGATCTTCACAGGTTGGTGGACTTGGAAGGAACATGTATGAAAGATAATGTATCAATAGCAATTTGTAGTCTCTTGAATTCAATACTCTATATAGTGCCCAGATAACACTAACATGGTCACTCAAAACGACACACGGATTACTATGGAGATATAGGTGTATTGTAGACATTTGCACATACTTCCTTTCTCAGTCAATGCCAAGATTCATCCTTATGTGTGTATTACCTGTCATGGATAGGTCGCGATGAGCAGCTGTACCACATTGTGCCAGCGAAAAACAATGGTGTTCACAAAGTGGAACCGACAAGCACAGGCTTGAAGAACAGGAAGGGTAATAGTTGGTTGCAAAATTGTAAAGTTCTCTAGCCATTAAGTTAGTTAACAGTTTGCTTGAGACGTCATTAAAATTGCGTCTCGGGCACATCACACACTTTCCTCAGCTTGGTCTGCCCTATCTTTAGTGAAAGAGACGACAGTGATGTACTCGTGTACTCAAGCGAGTGAGTGAGTGAGTGAGTGAGTGAGTGAGTGAGTGAGTGAGTGAATGAATGAATTAAAATAAAGTAACATCAACAATATTTCAGCCATATCGTGACAGAAACAAGATATACATTAATAATAAATAAAGTTATTCCTTAAAGCCTGTCGACAAAGGGCAGTAAGACAACTATGTTATCACAGATAGAGATGTAAAATTAACATGTAACTTAAAAACTCTATACTGCAATGCAGGACAATACAATATCCAAAACGGGCTATAGATCACCAGCAACTGAATGTTCTCATATAGTAGATACATTGCTTGTATAAGGTTGGTTTGTTGGTGAGAATCTGGTTCAGAGCCGATTTATTTACAAACAACACCATATAGCTGTAATACTGCTGAAACAAATATCTGCTCATGATATAATCACAATTGTACAATCGACTCTGCTTTTTGCAGAGATTTCTTTTGAATGTGGAAATGGTTTTGTCACTTCTGTTTATGGCGTTTGTTTGTTGCTTAACGCAATATTAGACTGGAGAAAACATATCCAGTGTTTGATATCATGAGCATCAAGCGACGCAGCAGCAAACCTGGCCACCCGTTTCCATGGGTTGCTGACCTAACTCCACCACCCGTTTCCATGGTTTGCTGATCTAACTCCACCACCCGTTTCCATGGGTTGCTGACCTAACTCCACCACCCGTTTCCATAGGTTGCTGACCTAACTCCACCACCCGTTTCCATAGGTTGCTGACCTAACTCCACCACCCGTTTCCATGGGTTGCTGACCTAACTCCACCACCCGTTTCCATGGGTTGCTGACCTAACTCCACCACCCGTTTCCATAGGTTGCTGACCTAACTCCACCACCCGTTTCCATGGGTTGCTGACCTAACTCCACCACCCGTTTCCATGGGTTGCTGACCTAACTCCACCACCCGTTTCCATGGGTTGCTGACCTAACTCCACCACCCGTTTCCATGGGTTGCTGACCTAACTCCACCACCCGTTTCCATAGGTTGCTGACCTAACTCCACCACCCGTTTCCATGGGTTGCTG